CCCGTACGAGGATCGTGGAGACGGAACGCACGGTGAGCCCCGTGCGACGGCCGCCGAGGGCGAGCCCGCCGGCGGTGCGGTTCGTGGAGAGGAGGGTGCGCAGGGATGAGCGCTCCGAGGAGAGCGAGAGCGAGAGCGAGGTGGATAGGGACCATATCCGCATCATAGAGAGAGAGAGGGGGAGGTCGCCAGAGAGGTCGCCGTCGCCGTCGCCGCCGCCGCCGCCGCCCTTGCCGCCGCAGGTGATTAAGGCGCCGACAATTGAGCGAGAGGTGATTACGCATTATACGGACATTGATCACGGTATGTTTGCCCGCGAGATGGAAGATTTGGTATGGTTAGGTGTGTGGGAAAAATGGCTGATTTTGATAATGTGTCAAAAACAGGTGTCATTCGAGCCCGGCAGCCGAGCCCGCCGCCACCTCCGCAGCCGCGGCACCGCACGCACGATGATGTCCGTGAGACGGACATTGACATTCATCTCGACAAGCATCACACTGACGTCGACATTCGCAAGACGACGACGCGCTCGCGCTCGCGCAGTCGCTCCCGGCACCAGCACTACCACGACGACGACATTGTGGCAATCTACGACGAGGCGCGGCCCCCCCGCCGCGCGCGCTCCATGATGGGCCGGCCCTCGGCGGACGAGGGCGACTACATTACCAGCCGCATCGACGCCCGCGGACGCATGGGCGAGGCGCGCGGCGGGGCTACGCGTCGCTGGGAGCTAATGGACGTGCCGCCGGGCACGGAGCGGGTGCGCATGGACGGCGCGGGCGGAGGACGCACGGAGACGACGTGGAGCCGGTACGGCGGTGAGCGGCGGACAAGGTTCCTCGAGGAGGACGGTGGCGGTGCGGTGGTGGCGCCGATGCCGGCGCCGATTTTGAAGAATGTGACGACGACGGCGGAGGATGCGACGAGCAGGGAGCGGAGGCTGAGCGTGGCGGTGGTGGATCGGGATACGGAGATTGATATTGAGCAGAGGCGGACGAGGAGGAGGCACAGGTCGCGGTCGAGGCCGAAGGCGGTGGCGCCGCGGGATACGTGGACAGAGGTGTCGAGGAGCTTGGTGTCGAGAGAGGCGATTGAGAGGTTGGGATATCCGTATGAGGAGTCGAAGCATTATTTTTATATCATGATGTTTTTGCCCTCGGTAAGTCTTTTCTTTTCTTTTTTT